TGAAATGCTGGTGAATCATTTAGCAACTGAGTTAGAACCACAACTTGTAGATGTGAATTTGTGACTGAAGAAGCCGTTACAGTGTAGTACTTTAAGAAATTAAAAACAGCGTCACAAGCAGCACCACAAAGATCCCACTGTAATGTAATCAGCTTTGAATGTATATGATCATCTTTATACAACCAGAAAAATAACAGCAACCGAGAATAAATAATGCTCAAAAAAGAGAAAAGACAAATGATCAAAGAGAACAACATCGTCTATTACTAAAAAAATTAATATGGACTTTGTCTAATATTTACCATTTCCAGAATGTCAAGATAAGATCGATCGGCAAATTGGGAAATGATAGATTTCATTATAAACTGTATGTATGGTGTCAACTGAAGGTAGTCGCTGCTACCTGACATCCGTAAAAGAAGTGGTTTCATAAGATGTAAAAATCCCAGCGAAGAGGCGTAAGATTTTGCAGCGCACTCACCCTCTTCTAGCTCTTGCTGCAATTGTAAACCTCATACCCATCTCAAGATATTTAATTTTTTTTACAAGGAATTCCATGAAGGGGAAGGAAATAAAAAACGAGTTTCGACCTGAATACCCAACAATTTCCCTTCTCGAGTTAATGACAACACGGAATAAGCGTTTAACGAAGCCCAAATCTTTGAAGCTCCTCTTTCATCATAAGCGAGAGCTGCTAAAAACCGAAATAGAGCCCCTTTTAAAAGCAAAGGAATTCCAGAGGAAATCAATCCAATAGCTGTGTCAATACATATCCATTCATTATTATCTACAAACTGCCTCCGAGCTTCTGAATCCTAAAAAGGTTTGGCTTTGCCGAAAAAAAACCTAAAAATTAAATACACAATACAACCGTTGAATAAAATTCATTAACCTGAGATGCAACAGCTTCTGAAAATTGGATCCATGCTATAAGCCCAGCAAGTTCAGTTTGGGATATCTGCTGTGTGACTTCCGAGGTGAATAAATGCGATCTTTGACTGACGGTAGTTTTTAACTTGAATAGGCGTAAGTACTCTTGGAGGGCGCGCCAGAAATGGTTCCAACACAAAGAATCTGTAATGCTTTCCGGTGAACATAGGAGTTCACTCAAAACTTTAGAATTCTAAAACTTCGGAACTACTCAAAACCACATATGTCTCACGACAGAGGTCACAATCAACCAAAACATACCTTCCCCGGAAGTAGCAGATGCAGCTAGCAGATGAAACAAAAAATTAGCAGTTTTTTGACATCTGCTTAACTTTTTGGCCATATCAAGATAAGCTACATGAAGAACTGGCGAGCAAAGCATTCTTCCATTCTTCAAAAATTTAACCAGCTCCTCCTAAAATGTTAGGACCAACTCCCATTGTACTCTTAGCTGCTAAAAAATGCACGGGTTCCAACCACAGGGTCTTTAAGTTAAGAATTAATAGCCCCCACATTATCAATCTTAGAAGTATTCACTGTGAATGAGACATTTTGCAGCAAAGAAATTCACTTTAAATCTATCACTCCCATCAAATTTTTCTGGACTATAAACCCACAGGCTCAGTGTAAGAAACGAACAAACTCGCCTAAGCAGCCAACAGCCTGCCAAGTTAAATCACTTCAAATCGCTAATCTTTTCGTTCCTTACAACATGTTTTGAAACGAAAGTTTTTCAGTTTAGATATTTGTGCAAAATTACGACTTCAGCCTGCTTAAAACCTTACGCTCTCAAAATCAGAATATCATATCAATATATAAAACGCAACAAAAAAAACTTATCATGAGTCTCTCAAGACAACAAATATCGAATTCCAAAAATGGCTTTTCAGATCGACCTTAATGTGTAAATGGTATTTTTTAAAAAAAAAAAAGCCTCTTTGGCACCACGCACCACATGCCAAGATATCCACTTCAATTTTTGCTACCAATTAACAAAATTTTTAAAAATAACTATTTCAAACGGCGATACAATAAAAGATATTTATAATGACAGAATTATAATCAAAAAACAAAAATTAGTGAGAAAATACTTTCCCCCAAAAAACAAAACGGCGCTAATTCATTAAAAAATATGTCATTAACACAGTAATCGAAGCTGTCAAAAGACGCTTACTGTAAGAGTATAAATAAACATAAAGTCCTTCAGATTATACTAAGCCAATTTTCACTACAAAAAACTAGAAAAGTTACGGTATTTGTAGACGAAAACTGGGTGGCAAACGGTACGACAAATTCTTGTTCCGTATCATACAAGTCTGCAATGCAACGCAAGAAATTTTCATAATGTAACCGTGGGCGATAGAGCTGGCCCTTCAAAAGGCAGTCTTCAACACATTGTAACTCCTCTTCGCAAACTCTTTGAAGGATCATCAACTACAAATTTAAACAATTTTTATTATGCAAGGCAGGTGGAGAAAAATGAAAAAAATCTGAAAGAACCATCAATTCTTCACTTATCTTCCTCACTGACCTTATTTGGAAAATGAGCTATGAATGTCTTGATCAGCGCATCTAACATTTCAAAAGCGATCACTGTTTTTCTGAACTTTGTGGCCGTCAATATACACTTCCGAATGAAAGGAAAAGCCATACCATTAATAGCTTTTTCTAGCAGCTCGTCAGAATCGATTTTGAAATCACCCAAAACTATAAAGAAACTATTCAGCATAATAGTTCCCTAAATTTAGAAAGTAATCTCTCCTTCAAAATAATGCATCAGCCCAAGTTAATGAAAAAAAACTGAAGAAGAGCAACCGTTAAATTAACCATTGTGACTGACGCCTCTTATTCATCAACTCTTTGACTCCAATTTTTTGAAAAGTATTAACAGGAACTTAACGTTTAACGAACAATAACTGAAGAAGCTAAAATAAAAAATTTTGAGCCAAACCTTCACGCGCAGCTTGATGAACATTTAACCAGTGGTATGTGACTACGAACGGGAACTGCAATGACGCACACACACACAAGTCTTTCCAATCAACCAAATCCAGCTCGTGATAAATTATATTTAAAACTTCTTTACAGCATGGCACTAAAAAAAACCAATGTACATATATATGCAAGGTAGCATACTACTCTCGGTCAATCTCTCAGATCCCTTTCGTTTTTTTTGCTAATTTTTCTACATCAAATTTTGAATTTGAAGTTTATCAAAAAAAAAAAGGCGTTGGCCAGAAGGTTCTAGAATGCGAAAGAAAACACAAATTTCAGCTAAACACGGTGATTTCCATAAACTTGCAGTTTTTCCCGTCCACAACAGATCTTTCTAGCTTTTACTTCATTAGAAAGGTTGCCTCCTTTTGACTGAAAAAAGTCGTGGAATTTTAATGTGAAAAGCTGCACGAAAGACCACAGTAAAAATAAAACTTTAAAACGTTTTTTCTAAAAAATCAGCATTTTAGCTTCTAAAAAAAACATTTTATAAAGACATAATTTTTTAATAACATACTAAAATTACAAAATAATTTCTTAATAATATCATGAGTTACGATGTGATCAGTGCGACTAGACAGAAAAAACCCTCAAGTTACAAACCATCTTGATCCCTTTCCAAGTGACAACGTTTCGGTTTCAAATTAAATACTTTTACACTGAAAAATACTTTAGTCCGGGAACTCAAATAAAATATACTTGATTGAAATTTTTTTGTTCATTTTAATAAAATGTCTCAGAAAAATAATATTCAAAGTCGCTTCTCACAATATGCACCATTTCACTTTATCACTAAACCCTTTCAGCCAAATATTTTAAATTAAATGTTCGTTATCACCTTGTGATGCTGATATTTGCAGAAAAATCATGACTATAAAAAATACTTTTTTTAAAAAATCTAAAACACCATTTTTTTAGAAACAAGGTTTGAATCCTTGTTTTCAGTTTCTACTTTCATAATTGAAAGTTTAATGTAACATCAAAAGACAGCACTGGTTTTCAAAAACTGTCTCAGCTCGCGCTGTAACTGAAGATCGTTCTTGTAAATGACTGCAGATTAACAAAAAAAGATGATATATTCAATGCTTTAAAAAATCATCAGCATTAGTGATAACATCTTTTCTTTGGGGGAATCTAATGTAAATCAGAATCATCAGTGAAATTCCAGTCTTAAATACATTAGTCTAAAAAAGCCAACTCAAATTAAGTTCATTAAAGTGGAACTTACTGTTTCTTAAGTTCTGTGGGTACAACAGAACTAAAATTGCTGTCCACATACATAAATGTACGTCTTGCACCTCCGTCGTAGGTACGAGGGACTTCAGTGGTAAAAACAGTTCTTTTATGAATTGAGGAGGCTGATCGAAACTCCATGAGGAACATAAAAGAAACAGAGATTCTCCACAATTTGTTATCGTTTCTTCTATAAGCTCCCGAAGCTACAAAAAAGACCACATCTTGTCCAAGTTGA